TTAGTATAATAACCTGAAAACTGTATAAATAGAAGAAGTGTAAAGAGTCTGTGAAAGACATGCTTTGATCAAATAAACTAACAAAGTTCTTACCTGTAATAATAATATTACTCGTGAATACACTATTATTTTATTATTCTGGTCAACTTCAAAGCTTGTAAGCAAAGTTACAAGTAGTGGATGCTCCTTCACTCTAAATAAGCCGTCGATTGTATTCTTGATATTACTGTTATTTTGATTTTCCCTCGTCCAGTCCGTATCAATAAGTCCTGTTGAATTGATTTTCATTGAATTGTTTTGTTAAATAGGCCGTACCAATAAGTCCTATTGTGTTATATCAATTAAATTGATTTTTGGATTATTCTTTTTTTATTATACTATTGTTTTCGCCCCCTTACTTTTTTTAACGTCGATTTGCGTACAAGTCGCCACGGGAAGCCTTTAGAACACCAAAAGAAACCCTTTACTCGCAAATAATTCAGTATAGCTCTCATCCCAGTTGCGTAAAAACCCCTCCTTGACCGATTAAAATAGTAGCACGCAACAGTAATCCAAACTCCATAATGAATGAACATTAAGCATTCTCATCATTCTTCAATATTAATGCACTAACGATAATGATTATCTAGAGGATGACAAATATCTAGACAATTGAAAGACATCGAACGATTATTGTTTAATTGATTTTAGAAACTTTCAAGAGAAACAATCACTGTAAAATACTAGCCTTAAAATTGTATATAAAATTACTTTTGAGTTTCTGAGAAGACATGCTTTGATCAAATAAAATAACAAAGGTCTTACCTGTAATAGCAATATTACTCGTGAACACAATATAATTTTATTATTTTGGTCATCATCAAACTTGCAAACAAGGTAGCAAGTAGTGGATGTTCCTCCACTCTAAATAAGCCATGATTTTATTGATGTTTTGTCTTATTTTACTTTGATATTCTTTGTACAGGCCGTACCAATAGCCCTGTTGTATTTAAGATCGTTTTTGATAATTAACGAACAGATAAAATTGTGTTATTATTATTGAATTCCTTTAAAGGACTATTCTATTCGAAACGCTCCTATCATTTACAAGGTCAACTTGCGTACAAATTGCCACAGAACGTTAAAGAAACCATTCTTTCTCGTAAATCATTCAGTCTAGCTCGTGATTACGTTGCGAAAACCTCTTTGATTCGAATAACTTCAGGGATCGACGCAACAGTACCAAAGCTACTCCTTCATCATTATATCAGTTTATTGTGTGTAAGGAACAAAGCAGAAAAATTTTAAGAGAAATGCTTGGATTTGGAATTGATGGAAGCCTTCTAGAACAAACATTGCAAAAAGAATTTCACAGAGTCGGAACACAAGTATTAGGGAAGAATTCTTTTCTATCATGAGTTTTTGGATGTGATGAATAATATATCGATTTTTATATGGATAAGTTGGACTGGGCAATAGAGCTTTTGAGAGATGGCAAGGATATGGTATGGTCGAGCATAGTTGGAGGTTTGAACCTGCAGGAGAATATGAAGAGATTGTTAGATATGCAAAAGTATAGTTATTATCGATATTTGCAGTGAATCAAAGGAGGTTCGAAAACTGCAGAAGGATATCATACATGTATCATGCGCCGAAAATTATAACACATTCAATCTTTGATCGTTAAGGTTCAAAATTAGAAGTTATACTTTGTAATTTGATATGCATTAGTTATGATTGCGATATTCAAAGCAGCTGGACGACGATTAATTGCCCAGATTTATTTTTTTTTTTTGATTATAAAACAAAAATATGAAAACCTTGCAAGGGAGGAAACCGCTCGGATCCTAGGTCATAAAATGAGCGTTCCTATTCTTCGAAAATTATCTCTATATGCTACTGATACACGATCGCTAAATAATTTAATCTGCCTGGAAAAGGCTCTGGCTGTCTATAACTACCCCACACACATAGACTATATAGAATGTTTTATTTACAGCCAAATGCTGGCGTTGCCATTTTGTAGCTCTTCCCATTGTAGAGAAGAATTTTGAATCGCGAACTTCATTTTTTGGGAGCAATTCGGTATTAGCGCCCGAGTTTCGTCGTGATCTTTTGATAGCAGATAATTCCGCAGTAATACGGTTTTCTACTCATCAAGTATTTAAGTATGGTACTAGTGATTGGATTAGCATGAACGTGACGAGCACGAAATAATCTGAACTGTTTGAGACATTTTTTGCGAATTAAGTTTTTGGGTAATTTCACGATTGATCTTGCAGAGCAAGGAATATGTGACTGTTTGATGCAATTTGCTAATGCGAGATACTTTATATTATAACGACAGGCATCCTAAAACATAGTGCTTTTTATAGTCAACATTGTTACCAAATTGATCTCACGGTTCGCATGATGTGTTATCGGTAAATTTACTCGTTTTACGTCTATTATTTCGTGACTTAGCCATGCTAATTATGTATACTAATACTTCAATTTAAAATTGGCCTTACTGTGGGTCCTTTTATGAGGCTTTCGGGTATGATGGGCTACTTTTTTTCTTTATAGTATGGACTGAACCAACAGTAATGATACCTAACGAAACTATTTCCATAATGACGAACGGTTTCGTCATGTCATTCGTCGGACGAAACCCATGACGATTGAAATCTGTCCTGTGACGAAGCCTTCTGACCAATCAAAATGATAGCTTAAATCAATTGTACAAATCCTATTCCAAATTTTAGAAATCTTGTACATGTGTTTGATTGGCTGAAGACCATGGACGATCAAAATTATGCTAACAATTCACTTTCGATATAGTGAACTCTTGATATAGTGAAGAAATTTTTTAGAATCATTAATAAACTTCAACTCGATATAAGCTATAATGAAGATTTTTTCTCTTACCCGATGTCTTCGCTATAACGAGGTTTTAGTGTAATTTTAAATTCATATACCTCCGGTAAAAATTATGCAAAAAATAA